TGTGTTTTAAATCAAAACAATGAGGCAATTCTTTTAAAACAAGGAGAAGTACGGAGGTCTGCAGAGGCTGAACGACAACACTTCTTATTTCTCTCCCCTCACTACTGCAGTTAGAAAAAAATATATATTTTATCTCTGGATGTTTCTTTTAAGTGAGAAGTGCAGTCCTACAGCAGMTTTTCACCATTTTCCCTATTTTCCACGTAGAGGAACTCATCATATTTCCCCYCAAACCAATATGTCAGCCYCCGTCTACAACATGGTCACGTGACAAAGTACCCGGCTGTTCSACTTTGAGAGTCCCTGTCTCCTCTGCTCTGTGCTGTCGGTCAGGATGGTGGTCTACAGGCTGCAGAGACCCTCCCCTCTGAGTAAACAACCATTTACTGTTTAGTGTGCAAATGAACCAAGATGCAGCCTGAACCCTGTGGTGTCAGCTGCCTCACTTTATGCCTGTCACGATGCAGAAGGTGTGGCAGCAGAGCTTCCTGCTGCTTGGTCAGGGTTAATACTAACGTTTTCCAGTCTTTAGCTTTGCATTATATTTTGAGGATAATCACAGCAATTAAAAAAATAAATCACTTTCCTCTCCATCAGCAAGAGCTTCACTTGTATTTGTGTATTTCTCCTCGTGACTTATGTCAAACTGAACATTATAGCTTAGAACAACAACACCATGAGTCAGTGACTGAAGTGCTGAAAGCTTCGTTCAGGTAAGGCTGCAGGATGCTTTCATTATAAACATCCTGCCTGAAGCTGGAGTGATGCTGCTCACAGCTCAGACAGCAGCTGTGAMAAGAGAGTCAGGAGTGGTAAGAAAGGAAACTATTCCTGATCAGGTAATTTAAAAAAATTAAAGATGTTGTTTATTAATTCTGTTGTTTGAGAAAATGCATTTTTTTATTCTTAGATAAGGACTATGTAGCATGAAAGATGAAGATGATGACATGACTGTCATGGTCTGTGTTTCTTTGGTTCTTCTGGTGTTTCTCTGTAACTCTGCCCTGCTGTCTGTCATCCCTCCAGTCCCGCCCAAGCTCACCTGTTTCCTTTCCTGTCTCCTCCAGGTGTTTCTTGTTGTCTCATTAAGTTCTGCCTTTATTTTCTGTGTTCTGTCCTCTGTCTCGTCGGATCATTGGGCCTCATGTAAGAACCGTTGGTACGCACAGATTTGTTCTTAAGTTGTGCGTACGAGTGATTTAGGAGAATTTGTGACATTCACCAATGTTTTCATATTCTAAGATTTTTTTCAGATACGAACAAAATTCAGGAGTGGTCCAGACCTGTCGTATATTTTACCAGCAGTCAGTCTGCTGTTTTCTCATTAATAACTTTATATTTTATTAGTTTGAAGATATTTTGAGGTGAAAATAAATCACACTCCATAATTATGTTGACAATAGGCTATTCTGTTTGAACTGGAATTAGATTTTAAATATAACTAACAGCATAAATTGGTTAGATTAAATTAAATTAACTTTTAACGCTGTTGTATAACACTACAATATTAATATGAAGATCTCACATTAAAAACCAACTTAAATTATGCATTAATTGAAGTTTAGAGACATTTTAAAAAGTTTTTTTTTTTCAAAACCACATCTGACGCGACGGTCGGGAGGGGGGAGACGGCCAGGCTGGGTTGTGGGGTTGGTGGTGGGAGCGGTGCTGCTCTTCTTCTGAATAAGTGAAACATGCAACACAAATGTTTACACTTAAATGTGAAATATTTGACCTAAGAAAAACTGTAGCAGGACTAGAGATGACTATGATTTAGATTTTTATTTGTGTGACTGTAGACCTACAGGAGACACAACATTAACAGTCATCATTTCATTCCTCGGCTTCAGCAGGTCTGACTCTGCTAAAAATTACTTCCTTTTTTATCTCTGAGAGCAGGACTTCAATCTGTGAACTCGTAAAGTTCTTTTTTACTTTGCAATGTCATTTATGAATGAACACTTCCTGGTATCTGAGGCAGGAAACGTTACCTTATATGGTGTTTTTAGGGTGGTAGTTATGCTAATCTCCTCTCCTTGAGCAACTGATACACATTCATCAGTTGACGCAGCTCATTTACACACGTTTCCTGAAGATAGAAGAGT